TGAATATACATATATGTCAGACAAGGGAAGATATCCATAATATGTTTTTGAGGAAAAAAAAATAAAAAAGCAAGTCACAGAACACTATGTATAATTCCCTCTGTGAAAAGCAAGAATATAATTTGCTTGTATATGCACATACACTAAATTTTTAATGAGAAGGAGACTTTGGAACTTTCATTTTGTATGAGCATGAATAACTTTTCTTTTTGTAAGCATACAGTAGGTTCTCAACAAGTGTTAGCTTTCTCTTCTTGTTACAGCCATTTTCAAGAATAAAATAATAGGCTTTAAAAATCATGTAGTTTAAAAATGATTCTTGTAATCTTCAGTTTAGGACAGCGGTGCAGCACAGTGGCAGAATTCACCCCTTCGGTGTGGAAGACACAGGTTCAATTCCCGGCCAACACATCTCAAGTGCAGCCACCACTAACTAGTCTGTCAGTGGAGGTTTTGAGTGTTGCTATGATGCTAAACAGGTTTTAGTGGCACTTCCAGACTAAGACAGACTAGGAAAAAAGGCCTGGCGATCTATTTATCAAAAAAAAAAAACCCCAGCCAATGAAACCCTATGAATCACAACAGCCTGATCCTGTTGTGCACGGAGTCTCCACGTGTCAGGGGCCAACTCAACAGCAGCTAACAACAACAATAATCTTCACTTATTCAGGTAAGTTCTGCTCAAGATAATTAATAGGCCTGTCTAATCTTTGTTTGAAAAGTGGGCGTCAGAAGTGGTTTCAGTTTTGAGTTAGCAGAGTGTCTGGGGGCCATAGTCTCGGGGGGTACATTTTAATTCTGTTCTACATTTTTCTCCTGTTCAAATCCTACCCAGTTCAAAGACAGAATTTTAGTATATATCCTCAAACTTTAACACTCACCCATCCCCAAAACTGAAACGTTTAATGACTTATAGCAGGGGCTAGCAAACTTTTTCTGTGAAGGGCAAGAAATTAAATATTTTGGGTTTTGCAGGCAAACATGGTCTCTGTTGCATATTCTTCGTTTTTTTGTTTTGTTTTTAACAACTCTTTAAAAATAATTATCTCAGAGCCACACAAAAACAGACTGTAGGCTAGATTTGGCTTGCCAGTCATAGTTTGTAGACCACTAACTTAAACAACAAACCAGCATGTGGAAGTCTAATATTGTAAATATATTACACGAAGGTATCAGTGAGCACAATAAGGTCAGTTATGTTCTACGTTAAATAAGTTAGCATTATACCAATTAAAATTAGTAATACATTGAATTCTACTAATATGCCAGACACTAACCAAATGATAGGAAAACAGTAAATGAAATTTCACGCATTCATTAGTATATAACCATGATCATGTCTGTGCCTGCACAAGCACACATATCTACTTGAAAAAAATCATCTCAAGTTGAAATACCACACACAAAAGCTCAAATCTTCTTTTATAATAACTAAAATCATTTACTCGTTTGAACCACCAAAACTCATTTGTTTTAGAAGTCATTGACCTCTGAAAATTAAGAACTGAATTCAGAAGCTGATAGTAATTTATTTGCTTTTAATTTAATTTGTAAACTTTATAATAATATATTAATAAGTAATCTAAAGTATTATACTTTAAAAGTCGGTAGTCTTGAAAACTTTTTAATACTTACTGCATCAGCAACCATCACTAGAAACTCGATTATACTTTCTTCCTTCTGTCTAAAAGATCATTTTTATGCATTTGATTTTATCTAAAATTGAAAGATCTTTATTATTGTCTGGAGGCTACTATCAGATGTAAACTTCATTATGAATAATAAAGTGGGTCAAATTAAAAGTCTAAAATGAAAATTTATCCCCCGAAAGTAACCAAATAACCATTACACAATCACCTTACCTAGACTGGTGGGTTTTATCAGTTCATCCAGTAAATCATAAAATGGTAATTTTTGAAGTTTTATATCCGGGTGGACTGGATGAAGAGCTGATGTAAGATGTGGGAGTTCCAGTTCATGTTTAGGTCCCAGAAGAGAAACAGGGAGTAACGGTGATGATGCAGGGTGACCATCATAAGTGAGCTGTGGAATGGTAGATGGAGACAAAGTTGCTGGCATAGGACTTGAATGTACGTTGGGGATGGACAAGTCCGCAGGCGTCATGATTTTCTGGGGGAACCGCCGCCTATAGAGTTCTTTAATTTTCATTTGTACAGCAGGACTGCAGCCAGCCTTTAGCAAATGCAGGGCTTTTGTGAGAAGTTCGTGTTTGCGTCCGTGCTTGTTTCTCCCAGCGTAGCCCAACAGTACTTGGAGTTCAGAAACTCTAAGGCTCATAACCATTTGCTTAGGAACAAAACAAAACGTAAAACATTAGTATTCCAACAACATAATCTACAATATTAAACAATACTTTTATTATAACCCCTCTGCTTACGGTTTACTTAAAGGTCACTAGGTGATTTACAGTCACTCCCAGCTATTTCAAACTTAGAATCTGATCAGTTAACATAAATAACCAAAGAAAACTAAAATTAATATTCATAAATGCACTGATATCTGCCCAGAATAATAAAAGATGTAAAAAAAAAAATTTATACACCACGATAGTATCACATCTCACCATTTTTCAATGAAATTGCCAAAGATTTATCAAGTACTTACTGAGTCTCCAGGAAAGTGCTGAGTGTTATGTGGATGGCAAAAGATAACGTGCCTTCAAACATTTTGTTTTCTTGGGGAAAATCACGAGTATATGTGGAAACACATAAACAGTTCACCTCAAACACCTGATATAGGCAGTATATAAATAACATTATCAAGTATTATAGTACACACTAACTCTGGAATTGCTGTTGTTGTGTGCCATCGAATCAATTCCAACTCACAGCAACCCTATATGACAGAGCAGAACTACCCCACAGGGTTTCCAAGGAGCAGCTGGTGGATTTGAACTGCCGACCTTTTGGTTAGTAGCCTGAGCTCTTAACCACTATGCTACCAGGGCTTCCAACTCTGGAACTGGTAGGACTTAAACTGTATGTACCCGTTTGACCCATTATATATCAGACACTATGCTCGATAGTTCCACATGGGTTCTTACTTAATATTTACAACTCTACAAGGAGTTATCCTTCTTGTTTTACATACAAGGAAACCAGCTCAGAAAGATCAAATAATTTACCTAAGGCCACACAGCTACTAAACAACAGTCAGAATTCAAACTCTGCTGTGTCTGATTCTAAAACCCATGCTCTTCCCACTAAACCATCAGGAAAAGGACAGAACTAGAAACATTACTGACTCACATTCCGCTTGCAGGGTCAGGCTAAAAAGTCCAGGAATTCAATCCACATGCTATAATGTGTGTGGCTACAGTAAAGAAATCTATTTAACTTTGCTTAATCTTGTACTCTCAATCTTATTTGGTCACTGTTTCTCCTTTTCCTGAACCTACTAAGACGCTACTAGTAGGAAATGCCCGTCTATACCAATCTTCCCATTTTAAAGTGGAGGAAAATGGAATCCAAAGAGAAGAAATGGCTTACCCCAAAGATTTCACCACCTCTGACAAGGAGTGTTAGGGCAGAAATACATGCACAAGCTTACTTATTTGTTATTTCCCAACTGTTTTATTCCCACCTCATCCCAAATACACAAAAGCTACTATGCTGCCTTTCGTAAGTCACCACTACTCCCTCTGATGGGCTCTTCCCTGTCAATCCTCTATAAGTTCTTTGCATGTGGCAAAACAAGTAAAATATAAAACAGTGAGGGAAAAGTGTATTAAGAGCTCTACATGCGATAATGGAGCCCTGGTGGCACAGTTACGAGCTCAGCTGCTAACCAAAAGGTTGGCAGTTTGAAACCACCAGTCGCTCCTTGGAAACCCTATGCAGCAGTTCTAGTCTGTCCTATAGGGTTGCTATGAGTTGGAATCAACTCAACAGCAACGGGTTTGGTTTTTCTGTCTTTGTTTTTGTTTTTTGGGAGGGATGCAATAACAGCTGGTTAATCAACCTCATGAGGTCATCATGAATTGGAATCCACTGATTGCAACTGGTTTAATCAAACAAATGTAAGCCCTTCCCCTACTTCTTTGATCTTAGAAACTCTTATCTTCCCTCAAGGTCCAGCTTTAGTCAGCCTTTGCCCATTAGTCCTGGCAGAAATAATGACTCTCTCCTCACTATTCTTAACTGGCAATTTTTCATATTTTTATTTTAGCACTTATCCTGATTATAATTTTCTGTTTATACAAGTGATTCCATGACCAAATTGAGGTTCTCTGGAGCACACAAGGCCATGCTACCCTCAGCATCTAAGACTAAGGCCTGACAACAGTAGAAACTCAAATGGCAATGAATGAATGAATGAACAAATGAATGAAGGAACAAACCAGAAGAAAGGGTGGGGATATAATCTACAATGAGAAGTTATACATACAGCGATAATATAAATTCAAATGAACTCCCAACTCTAATGCTTTATAGAAAGCATGATATAATATAGACCTTAAAAACAAATCTTACCCCAATTCCTACAAATGCTTCTCTTTTTTTAGATGTTATCAGTTATTAAATAATTACTAACTATAATATCAGCAAAATATCAGTTTATCCCTACTCATCAAGATGTCTACGAGTACAAAACAGTTTTAAAGATTTTTACTGCCTATCTTAAAAGGAACAGGGACTTTTAATAGAAAAAGATACTAAGTAAGTAAGCTTCTGCTTTTAAAGAACTAACATGAAATATACTTCAAGAATTACAGGTTAAAAATAAATTTAGGTTAGCACTGGTCAAATGCACTTTGTTTTACAGAGAAAACCGTACAAAGTTCATAAAGAGAAAAACATCTTTCCATTTCAATTCAACTGCATTCTCAAACACAGTGATTATTAAAACTCTTCATTGATTACAGCTTTCGTCCTCACTCTATAGGCACAAGGATTTAAATACAACATAGATGTATTATTGTTCTATTTTTAAGAACACATTGACAATTCACATAAAATAAAATCTCTTGCTTGATGGTCAAAACAAAAAAGTTAATGACATAACTATACACCTGACAGCTCTCAATTATGTATGTGACTGTCTTTAAAAGGCACAGCAAGCAGTAGCAGCAGTAAAAACAACACTTAGTACACAGTAGGTCCTCAAATAGCAGCTGCTACTATTTGAGGATACTACTATATGAAGACGGCACAGGACCAGGCAGTGTTTTGTTCTGTACACAAGGCATTGGAACTGAGTTGGAACTGACTGGACAGCACCTAACAATAACAAGCAAGCCAGGGATTTTCTCTCTTTTCTTGTTTACTCGGATGCATCATTCATCGCCACAATTATAAAAGACAAGTATTACTCTCATTTTACAGATGGGGAAACTGAGGTTGAGGAAGGTTAAGAAACCTGAATGTCACCCAACTAGTTCCACTCCAGTTCTCATGCTTTTACACTGTGGTGTACTGTCTTTTAGAGGAAATAAGCCACGTGCCTTTTAATTAGGAAACATAAAAACCTATTAGAAGATTAATTTATTTAACATTCAACCTCCATTTCAAGCTTCAACATTCTGGCTTAAAAAAAAAACTAGTGGTTAAAAAAAGAAAGGAAAGCACCTGGATTCAAATTAACCACTGTACCTTATAATCAGGTACAGTGAAAGATCAGGTGGTATCTACTGCTATTATAGGAGCAGCTATTCTTCTTAAAGCCTGTAATAAGCATGCTGTATTAAAAAAGTTAAATAAAAGAAGGGATGGGGAACACTAAAACATCTGAAGCATCACTCAACTGAAAAGCTGCAGAAAAGCATGGTGCAGTCAATTCACGACGTAAAGTGTTGACAACACAGGAAAACTAAACACTTAAGTACATGTGAGATGTTGAAATGCAATATATTTTCATCTACCATGGTTTAAAAATCCCCATTTGTTACTACAACGAAATGAATATTTACAGTTAAGGATAACATCAACCACCACGACTATTACAAATCATTACCTTCTTGACAACCAGAATTCCATGCCACTCTGCTGACTCTACATCCTCAAATGATACAGTTCTCAGAATCCTAAGGGATTCAGAATGACTGTGAAGTGTATATATTCTGTACAGAAGAGCATTCTATGATTAAAGAGGTGCATCTTCTTAAAATTAATTTTTGCAAAAAATCAGATATGCACACAGTTTAAAAACCAGATCATTTTATAAGAAAGAGAGCAGTCCCTTGCCCAATTCCAATTTTCCCATCCTGAGACAACCACTTTCGCCTCTTTCACCTATTTCTTATGTCATTTTTCCACTATATTCTAAATAGCAGGTCTATACAGGTCTTTCTTAATTTTTCCTTTTAGGTATCTATTAACTTCCTATTATTACTGATAATTGTTTAGCTCTATTACATCTTTTCTCCCACCCCCCACACCCCAACATCTTCCTAATCATTATTTTTGGTTGAATCAACCAGGGGCGGATGACCCAGTAAGCAAGGTAAACACTGTGCTTACCTTGCTACCAGGTCATCTGTGAACAATTTCACATTTTTTCAGCACATCAAAGAGCCTGCTTCTAGAGGGCTGTGGGGACCATGGTCTGAGGGAACATCCAGCTCAACTGGCATAACACAGTTTATAAAGAAAATGTTCTATAAAGAAAATGTTCTACATTCTACCTTGGTGAGTAGCGTCTAGGTTCTTAAAAGCCTGTAAGCAGCCATCTAAGATACTCCACTGGTCTCACCCCTTCGGGAGCAAGGGAGAATGAAGGAAACAAGATACAAGGGAAAAATTAGTCCAAAAGACTAATGGACTACAACTACCATGCTCTCCACCAGACTGAGTCCAGTACAGCTAGATGGTGCCTGGCTACCACCACTGACTACTCTGAGACAGATCACAACAGAGGGTCCCAGACAGAACTGGAGGAAAATATAGAACAAAATTCTAACTCACAAAAAAAGACCAGACTTACTGGCCTGACAGACACTGAAGAAACCCCGAGAGTATGGCCCCTGGACACCCTTTTCGTTCAGTACCAAAGTCATTCTCAAGGTTTACTCTACAGCCAAAGATCAGACAGGCCCATAAAATAAAACAAGATTAAAGGGGCATACCAGCCCAGGGACAAGGACTAGAAGGCAAGAGGGGACAGGAAAGCTGGTAATATGGAACCCAAGGTCAAGAAGGGAGAGCGCTGACATGTCGTGGGGTTGTTACCCAATGTCATAAAACAGTATGTGTACTAACTGTTCAATGAGAAACTAGTTTGTTATGTACGCTTTCATCTAAAGTACAAAAAGAATTAAAATAAAAAAAAGATTCTGCTTCTAGGTATGG